TGAGGTCTCCCCTCAGCCTCCTTTTCTCCAGGCTGAACAACCCCAGTTCCCTCAGCCGCTCCTCATAGGACTTGTTCTCTAGACCCTTTACCAGCTTCATTGCTCTTCTTTGGACACGCTCCAGCACTTTCTGCTGCACTTTTGCACCCTTTCTCCTTGGGAGGGCTTTTTCTCCTGGGTTGTGCCTCTCCTCTCTGTCCCATCCCTCTACCCTTTTTCCCCTGAGGCAGGCTCTAGGGTCCTCCAGGGTGGGACCCACCTCCCTGCCCTCCAACACATTCCTCTTCTGCAGGCAGAGGAGAGCAGCACATGCTTGAGAGCACACAGATGAAACACGTCCTGCCTGTCACATCCACTGGCCAGGGCACCTTGTTTGGGAGCTGCAACCAGCCAAAATGTTCTCTTGGGGCTGCTCATCAAACAAGAGAACAGCAGGGAAAATGGGGAGGGCCGCTTGAATGCAGAGGTGTTTTGGGTGTGCTGCCGATACTAGCACAAATGGTGAGATAGATAATATTAATAATTGTCCTGGTTTTGGCTGGGATAGAGTTAATTTTCTTCCTAGTAGCTGGTACAGTGCTGTGTTTTGGATTTAGGGTGAGAACAATGTTGATAACACACCGATGTTTTAGTTGTTGCTGAGCAGTGCTTACACTAGTCAAGGACTTTTCAGCTCCTCATTCCCTGCCAGCGAGAAGCTGGGAGGGGGCACAGCCAGGACAGCTGACCCAAACTGGCCACAGGGATATTCCATACCATGTGACGTCATGCTCAGTATAGAAACTGGGGGGAGTTAGCCGGGGGAGGGGTGACGGCTGCTCGGGGACTGGCTGGGCATCGGTCGGCGGGTGGTGAGCAACTGCATTGTGCATCGCTTATTTTGTGTATTCTTTTATCATCATTATTATTATTTTCCCTTCCTTTTCTGTCCTATTAAACTGTCTTTATCTCAACCCACGAATTTTACTTTTTTTTCCCGATTCTCTCCCCCATCCCACTGGGAGGTGGGGAGTGAGTGAATGGCTGTGCGGTGTTTAGCTGCCTGCCAAGTTAAACCACAACAATAATAAAATCCGAGCAAAAGCAAGGCTGGCTGGCTGTCAGACCCCGGGGACCTGGAAGACCAGTCCGTCCCTCGCACGGGATGGGTTGAACAGCAGGATGGCAAAATATCCCCTCCACTTTCCAGGCCAAGAATGAGAACTCTTCAAATACATAGGACATGTCCAAGACAGACATGCACGGTCAGCTCTAGGGCCAGGGTGCTGTGCAAGAGTTTGGGAAAGGGTGCGCGGACGAGACAGCGTGCCATTGCACCTCTCTTGATCCAGCCTGATAGAGCCTAAACCAGGTGATGGGTTTCAATGAAACAAGGCCCGTTGTGCAAGACGCTGTGGGATTTAGAAGCACAGCCTTGTCCTTGTGCTGAAAGAGATGTAGTGCGGGATGGCACCTCCCTGGGGACCACGGCCAAAAGCATCACAGGTAATCAGACTTCTAGAAAATTTAGATGATTGTCCCTACAAAGTGGCTTTGGGGAATCAATGAAGGGGAAGGACCTTTGTGGATCTTGGCCAAGAGGTGTCTCTGTGGTTTGTGTACCCCCGAGCCTCCACAGAGCCCGCAGGGAAGCCCAGCTCCTTGCAGTGGGGCAGCTGCCAAAGTACTGCTTGCAATTAATGACAGCCTTGCTTCCTGACAGAGGCAGCCAGAGACACCAGGGTATGGCTCCGGGCTTGGCAAGACACTGTCCAGAGAGGGAAAGTTGTCCCAGGGACAGTGCGCAGTGCCATGGTTGGCAGGTCCACGTTGAGGTCTTGAGCAATGTCCCGGCCAGAAGATGACCTGACTTAGAGAAAGCCGCCTAGCCCTGTTGGTAGTGAAGGCTGGGCCACTTTTGTTGCACACCCACTCATGCCCAACACATTCTGCCCAATGACCACCAGGTCAGGAGTTGAGACAAAACTTTGAACTATGTGTATCGATTAAATAATGAGTAATTATAAAAGGAACCCTGAATGTCTACTAATCAGATGTAGGCACTGACACTGCAGACACCCGGGAAAGGGCTGATTTGTCTAAATATAGACAGTTATCCACTACAGAAAATTGCCAGTCTGTTTATTCTTGTGCCATATTTATAACCAGATGAAGATATCTTAGGTACTATGCGGTGACTCCAGCATCACCCAGTGCACATATCCCACCCATCTTGCTTTTAGGGACATCAGGGTATCAGATAGAGGCCAGTGGGACGTGCTACGGTGTGTGCAAAGGCTTTCCATCAAAGATGAGACCACTGAAGGGCTTTGCTGGCTTTGGGAAACGGTGTGCCTTGTACGTCCAGAGTTACTCAAACTCCTTTTCAGCAGAAGAGCCCAAAGAAAATACAGCATGTACAGCTGTTCTAGCAAAAAAGAGTTCAGGTCATGATTACCTTTTCTCCTCCTAACTCGCTCTTAAATGCAGAGCCCTCGTTAAGCCATAGAAAGTAATCGCTGTGCTCAGGGAATGTGGTTTTATGGCCTTCACAGGGAGAAGAATGCAAACAGAGCATGCTTCAGTTCTCTTCGGATGCATCTCCTCAGACACGTGAAGAGCATCCTTCCCATCTCCACACCCTTACACCTTCTTGCCTCAGATCAAGCAGCTGCAGTTGCAAATTTTACCTTGCCACACGGCACAGACATCAGGTCCCAGACAAGATATCTCTTCGTTAACTAGTTTCTTGCCTGTTCCCTCTGTGTTTACACGACACGTGTGCTAATCCTATCCCACCCGCTCTTCTAGACCAAACCATGTATTTTCCCCAGGGAAAGCCAAAGCCCAGCTAAGGGACAGTTCACACTGGAGCCCATCCCAGACAAGCTATGTAGAGATGTATCAGACTACTTTTGCCTCTCTCAGCCCCGTCTCTATTGCAGCCAGCTCTGCCCTCCCCATGCATGCACTTCCCTGCCACTCCCCAGTGTACCCAACACATCTCATCTTCATCCTATAGAAAACAACTCTCTGGCAGGCTTAAAAAAAAAAATAATTCCTACTACCTCAAACATTTTGAGCTGAAAAACAATGCAAATACATCCTCAGGCATGGGACAAAGAGCCCATCCAAACCAAACACCGTGAAGAATGAGCCTAGCTAGTCCACTTTGTGTGGTGCTGTCCTGGTTTCGGCAGGGATAGAGTTAATTTCCTTCCTAGTAGCTGGTACAGTGCTGTGGTTTGGATTTAGGAGGAGAACAAAGTCGATAACACACCGATGTTTTAGTTGTTGCTAGGTAATGCTTACACTAG